TACACCTTTCTTTCCATCAGAGAACATCTACCAACTGTGCTACAGAACACCTTTTTATTCTCTCCTCCAAATGATATTTTATTTAATAACAATGACTATATGTTTAACAATTGGCATTTTTCTTATTATTTCTTCCATGGTGCATTGGCAGGATTTTTAAGAAAATAATGCCCTAAAAATCCTAATGTTCTATGTTAATTGACTTTAGATACCTAATTTGTACCTGTTAGGAGCTGAACATAGCAAACCTCCCTCCCCCAACCTGCCCCTCCCCAACCCCCCCAGACAAACAAACCCAGTTTCATGCAAATCACTGAACTCACTAATTTGAACCTATGACGAATATGCATTAGCTATTTACATAAATGACAGCAAATGCTCCGATTACCAGAGCTTAAACCTGACAAAGCTGCAGCCTAGCACTAGCTTTTGGAACACAAGCATCCTCATGCTACTGGTATCTCCCTGGGCGGCTGTCCAGGTAACTGGCCGCTCCTTGAAAGTCTGCCTCTGGCTGAGATATATCCTGGACTGAATCTGGTTGCTTCCTGACACTGGTTAGGAGATGATCCAACTGGATTGCCAGCCTCTAGCCAGATGCCGAGCTCTGACCCTTTTGGTCCTTGGCTGTGGGAAGGTGGAGAAGTGCTCCCTGATGCTTTCTAGTCAAACCCTGCAGGACAATGTGGCATATCTTACCTTTGTGTGAGATACAAAGCCACAGGTAGGATTGGAAGACTATTAAAGGGTTCTGGAGGACTACTGTCAGATCAACTTAACAATACCAGAACAGCATAGAGTATTTCCTCAGTTCTCTAGATCACAACAGCAACGCTCCTAGACTGGAGCCTTTCAAGAAAATGGTGTTGATCAGAGCAGGCCTGTAGGCTGACTGAGCCAAGGAACAGGCTGGGGGCCACTGTGTGTAGGCTTACCTGAGACGCGCACACATGCACACACACCTCACTACATGGGCTAATCATGTAGGAGCCCTTATCTGGAGAGGTGATGGAACTGGGTGTCAGAGATATACAGCATGCTTACATTGTGTTCCTGGGGAACTCTTGGGTGAGCCCCACTCCTATGACATTCAGTGGAAATATTTTTATTGCCTTCAGGTGCCAATTGGATCAGGCCCAAATACATGTCCCACAATACACTTTGTTTCCAAGATACAGTAGCCTGGGTTAGGCTTTTTTTAAACAAAGACTATTTTGACAGGGCCATTGTCAGCAATTCCTTTGCCGACGAGATACTGTGTAAATAAAAGGATTTCAGGCAGCCATAAAAGCTACTGCATACTTTGTCAAATCATTTGACTTCATACAACATTTGCATGCCAAAGGCTTCTAAGAACATCATACATACATGGAAAAATACATATATTCTTTCCATTTTACCTTTTGGAACCTGAAGTACTTGACCAAGTTACAGCTCTGCATTGTGAATTACTTAACTCTAAATAACCATTACTTTTTATGCAATGTTGTAAGGCAGCGTGTAATTCTTTATTCCTTGGTTGACCAGTCAGGTACCCTTAAAATATTTACAACTTATTATTAAATGTAAACAATTAATTGACCTGCTCTTATCTTTTTGTATTGTCATTTTGATGGATCTTGTTTAAAAACCCTGGGGAATTGAAAAAAGACACCATTACTGAAATTACACTATGGTGCATTTTCAACTCAAATTGAACAAGAATTCTCAATTTAGATTGCTTTTAAATATTTTACTTTCTTATTACACATTAACAGCAAATAGCATACACTGTTTTTAATATACTAATGGGTCACGTATTAGTCATTTGTGAATTGGAAAATTAATCTACACAACGAAGTGTCAGTTAGTTACATTAGAAGGGGGGGATTTTTAGTACAGCCTACTTGTAGCTTTTCCAATTACCTCTATCCTACACATTTGAAGTATAAATTACTTATATTGTATACTTCTCCAGCCAGTTTTTGTCCTCAATTAATCTGGATTTGTAACACTGGATATCCATTTAGTGCATAGTTTAACTTTTAATTCAAATCAGTGAAAGAGAGCAGAATTTGGCTCACTGAATGACACAAGTGTAGATTTTGAAATATTAAGTTTGATTTTTTTTTTTTTGCTGGATTTGATCTTTTCTTATATATTTCTAAATAATTTGGACTACCCAAATCTCTTAAATTCTCTCAGGACACTATAGAAGTGTCTAAAATTCCCTGGTGCCCACCTATAATTTCTACCTCAGTTGTCTCATACAGGGACTATTATGTCAAAGCATTTCAAGCTCCAAAATATAATAGCCAGGGTTCAGGCTTTTCTCAAATGAAGATTACTATGAATCCTATATCTATCAAATTGTGATAAATTCTGAGAGCTGATCCTACTTTAATGCAAACTATTGGTGACTAAAGCCATCAGGCTTTGAAAGTAATTAATAACAAACTGTGATCCGAGAGGCTGAAGACAAATATTTTATCTGTAAGAAACTTGCCACTTAAATCTCTTCCATTTATTTTTTTCCAGGCTCTCAATCTTGATTAATAACAAAACAAAACACAAAGAAGACCCAACAATACAAATGAGAGCTAAGTATTTGCTCCTAGTGACACAGAAAGTTTTAATTTAATAAAAGAAATAGAAAATCAGGGAGCTTACTTCATTTTTTTGGCATTTTCTAAAAGCAATATAGACAATGCTTTTTAGTGCAGTGGGAAGAATTATTATTGAAATTTTAACATCTGTCTGAAACAGACAACATGAGACTATTCCTGAGAGACACCTTAGCTTTCGAAAAATTAAGCAATCAGACTGTCCTGGATTTTCTCACTGACATATTTATAATACTGTAAAGCCAACTCAGTTAAAGAGTCCACAGAAAACATTGCTCTACAGGCAGAAACATATTACTAATTTTCTTCTTACAAAAGTCAAACAGAATTTTAATGCTAAGAAATACAGCAGATCAAAAATTAATATGCTTACCTATTTTTTGATAAAATTTATAGACAAAATATAACATGAAAACTGGCTAAGAAAAAAAGCAGATCTATATAAATCCATATCTACTAAATTTATATCAAATACAGTTATCATGCTTACCATCTAATTAGAAAATATTTAATATAGTAACTTTATTATAAAGTGTGGATACAACTATTTGATTGCAATTCACCATTTGAAAAACTCTTCTAGAGAAGCAATGCTTGAATGCTGACCTCTTAAATGGAAAATATAATGTGACATTTCATATTTTATGCTACTAGTTTTGTAATTACAGTTTATTCCTCCTTTCTCACCCGTTCATATTACAGGTGTACTCCTTGGATAGGACATTAAGTTCATATTGATTTGCCATACAAGTCGTAAACCTACACAGCATTCTGCCGCGTCTATCATTTTAATATTTTGATCCTGCATCTGCTTTTTATTTTCCTTGGAAAATATTTGCCAACTTGTATATTTCTATTGGCACTGAGAACACACAAATGAATATAGGAATGCATTTTATAAGAGATCCAGGTTGTGGGAATCAGAACAAAGTGAGCAAATATGCATGCATTTTCTCTCTCTGCATTACTTACATCATTAAATATCTACAGTATGCATAAAGGGAACAAAACAAAGTAATGCAGAAAAATAATGTAATGATAGTGACCTTGAAACAAACATTCAGGCTAGCAAACAGGTATCATAGTGATGGACATGTTAGAAACATCTAGGTACTATAGACAGGCTATAGTAACCTTGCTTAGCAAAGGGCAAACTAATAACTGATACCTTCTAATAGCCATACTCTAAGGTGAATGTACAAATGAACTGTAATTCTGCAATGTATTGTTTAGATTTTCTCGTATGCAGCCTTTATAGGTTTAGAAACATTTATAAACTGGGGAGTTATAATTTCCATTGTATTGCTATACATCAGAAAGCAAAGAAATTAATTGTGAATATTTATATTCTACTAATGAAAAGTGCAAACCTACACAAAATCTTGTCTGTTTAGATTCATTAATTGTTTTTCACTGAAATTTAGTATAAGTGCACTTAAATATTTCTGTTTGTATGCACCTAACTGTTCTGGACAGTAAAACTTCTTTGGCTTTTCAGCAATATTGAGCTTGGCTGTAACTAAGATAAACATATTTAGTTGTAACTTTTTTCTTTCAAAAAGAGGCAAACTAGATTATAGCAAATAACCTTTAAGATAATTAACTGACAATGCTGCAACTAGCATAAAATCTTCCTTCAGGCGACCCCTAATTTAAGTATTACTGGCACAAAGTGGAGACAGATTGTGCATCACCACCGCAATATTTACATAGCAGAAACCCACAGAGCAGGAAACGTGAGACTCAATGATGCACTAAATTAGGAACAATCATATTCTAGTGTTAATTTGCTTTCTACTCCATCCAAATTTCAGGTCCAGAAATTGGTACAAATACATATAAAACATTCCTGCTTTTTAATGATTAAGAACTAGGATATTCAAATGGTTATGTACATCAGCAAATTTCCTCGTATGTCAATGTTTGCAGGATCAGACCCAAAAACTAAAGATATTATGGCTATTCTTTAAAAAACGAAGACTCTCTAAACTATTTGTTTCTTTCCATACATAATACTATCATAAATAGGCTGGTTTTTTTTCCTTCTGTTTTGCCTGCCCTTTGATTGCAAATATTTTCATACGACAATATCATTGTGATTCTAGGAAGTAATTTAAAGATCATTTTAATTTCTTAATCCCGAATATCTATTTATTCAAAGGACTACAGTTAAGAGAGAAGGGAGAAAAAAGAAAGTCATGGAATTTGTAAATGGATTTGCGAAGTGCCATGCTTATAGGAAATATACTGGTAGTATTTTAGCTTGAAATAAATTTTAGTAATATAATCAATTACTCTGTACTTTTAATTATAAAAGGCAGACACTCCCTCTCCTCCTGAATTAAAAAAAAAGCATTCTAGTTTGGCTTCTATATACAATATTAACAAAATATTTACCTTTCCTAAACGCTGATGCTCTTCAAAAGCAGAAATCAATTCTTGTGCCCAGTTTATTTTTTCAGGGCTTGGAGAGAACTGCTCCTGAACAACAGCAATTTGGTTAGGGTGAATCACCTGCTTACCTACAAGGAAGATTAATAACACCAGAATCATTCACTGACAAACAGATGTTCAAACAAAATGTTCCAACCACTTGAGGCTCTCAAATGCCTTACAGATTATATTACTTAACTACTTATTTCGCTAGATTTTTTTTACATTTTTAAACTGAACAACATGCAGAAAACCTGATGGATTTTATATGAACAAATATAACCAAGCAATAGTTGTATTTAATATCATTTGGAAAAGAAAAAAAAAGAACATAAGTCTTCCCACCCATTTCAATCCATTCATTTTTCTTTTGTCATTTCAGGTGCGTTTCTTAGACAAATCCAGTCAATCAGAATTAAAGTACTAAATATATATATATATGAATTGTAAGTGTATAAATAATGGTAGCAGCAACTCATTAGTACAGTTTTAATGAAAATTATATTTAAAGAATAAAATACATATTATTTTTGATAACTTTTCTTAATTATACAAGTGTTATTCTCTAGAGCCCCATGGTTTGTTTACCAATTAACACTAGTCAGAATTTTTTTATGTACTAGTTATGCTGACTAGTTAGTAGGTGGTAAGTTTGTACTACTTTTCTCAAAGTTATTTGTTAAATTAAATGAATATCAAAGGAGCTTTTTTATTTTCCCTTGCATAAATATTAATAAATAAACTAAGAATAAACATAGCTTTTTATTTTTGCTGATGTCTGTCACATCTGATTGCTTGGTCGGGTATTCAGATTTAATTCATTACTACACATAGTTACATTCAAATATATTTTGATTAACAATTTTAAGTGTGACATTTTACATTTTTATTTTTTTTTAAAATAAATACCTTACAGCAGTGTCTGTGTTCTAAACATTTTAAATTAAATTTTAAAACGCTATTAGAAATAAATGTTATTATATTATCCCCATTTACTTAAATGTCCAGGCAAGAAAAGTTAATTTTCGTTTACAGACAGCAGGAGCAAGTAGAAAACAGATGCCTGATCCTGCAAACTCTTTACTCAGCTGAAATCATCCTTCTTCACATGTTTTACTCACATCCACATCCCCACCGAAGAATGGAAGCTCTCACATGGGTAAGGGCTACTCAAGTCAGGCAACTTATGTGAATAAGCACTCCTCATGGCCCCAATCCAGTTTCAGGATCTCTTACCACTGACCCCTGTCCCCCTGCTGTGGCCACTGGTCCTCTGGCATTCTGCATGGGTACGGAAACACATGCCAGTGGATGTCAGTGGAGGAGCAGGGCACATGTAAGTAAAAGTTTGCCATATTAGGTCCAAAGTGAGTTTCTTAGGTAGAAAAATTCTTCTAAAATAATTCTTATTTAAAGTAAGAGATATATAGGTGTAATAAATGACAAGTAAATTATTTTATGCCTTGCCCTAGAAATGATCCATTCATTTTTAAATGATTTAAAAACTAGAAAAAATTACCTTCAATCATTGGCAATAATTTCATACACTGAAATAGTACCTGAAGGATGCTCTTGTGGATCTTTTTAGCATAGTATAATTTTTAGAAATAAGCAAATAAGAATTGTTCAGGATTATTATATTTTAAAAAATAAGCCATGAAAGCTCAGTGTTATTTTATTTTTTATTACACAATATTTATGAAAACCAGGCTGTCAATAAATTCAGATTCTGATACTGCAATAATGCCACAATAGAAAAGATGGTTTAAAAATTTTGTTTGAATATTTTTATTATTTAAAGATTATTTCTTCACTAGAAATTAAATGAAATGCAGATTTCACTAGTATTTTAATTTTAGCTGCAGTTAGAGGCATTTATAATGAAATCAAATGCTAAGCTTCACAATATAATTATTAACCTCCTCCTTTTTAACTTTATAGTTAATGATTGAATTAGTAATCTTAAATATTGTAAAATACATAGTGAATCATACAAAGTTTAATTTTTAGGGAGAAATATTTGTATTATATGTTTACAATTCTGCCAGAAACTAAAGTTAAAATCAGAAAATAATCAAAGTGTGTGTAGAAATTATATTTAAAATGCAACTGTATTTCTATGATTACAAATAGTTTTAATAAAGGTACTTGTGGTAATAATTTGCAGTTTGTGCCATTATAACATTAGCAAACAGATTACAGAAAATATAATCTAACATCTGATTTATGGCACCGACTTGTCTTTTGTTACGTATTATATATCCAAACAACTGTATCATACGCTTTAATGCCATGCAGGAATGAAGCAAATATTTTAAACTGAACTGTTGTTATTGACAAGTTACTGAGAGAGTGCAAAATTGGTAGACATTAAAATTTATGACCATGAAATCCTTTTTACAGTACTACTTGATATATCATGCTTTAAATCAATACCTGTCAAGTCTTTTAGGTAACTGTATGATGGTGTCATTTTTGTCTTCTACAAAAGACTACAAAAAAGAGGAAAACCTATAGTGTTTCATATTTATATCTAGCTTCTCAGCATGTAGTACTGGAGTAGCTATAATGACTAAGTCAGCTGTTAAAGCTTATTCCAAGTTTTACTTCTTTTTTTTTATACAAACATTCCTAAAGCTGATGACCATTTATATAGTCAATGAACTGATTTTAAATCCATATGTCATGGCATTGTAAAACATATGTTGTCTTAAAAGTAAATGTATTTTTTTCAAAAACCGCACTGGGTAAATATGTTTAAAATATGCACAATACGTGAAGACACGTGTGTATGACAGAAAGAATAGGCTGCCAGGTGTTGTTAAAAAAAAAAGAAAAAAAGAAAACGTATGAACTGCGGCAATAAGGTCTACACTAATATCCATATAGATGGACAGACCCTCTTTCCATTGAGTAACTGTATTTTTGGAGATGTTGATACTGGTTAAACTTCATTAAATATATGTTGCTAACTTTACTTTAAGGCCCCAAATTCACTATAGGCTTAAGTGCACATACTTTGTAAAATACTATGGAATTGCATTAGTTTAGGATGCAGTAAATCTTGTCATCTTTAAATATGTACCTTGCTAATTAATAAGTAAAACCATTTCTTGAGCTCTGTGAAAGATTTAGCCCAGTTTATTTTATTAACACTCATTTACTTTGATGGCACTAGTTATATGTGTAAAAATAAAGAGTTTTGATCCTATATATTGCAAAATGTGCAAGAATTCAGGGTTCAGAACTACTTATTAATACCAGACGTTACAATATTATCATCATAGTAATAGGCAACTAGAAGAGGCACAGGCTTTTGCTTAGCAGAAGGTAATTGGCTAAGAATAGAACAAGGAGAAGTTACTTTAGCAAATAGCAAATTCATTTAAAAACTAAGTTTTAGGCAAAAGAAAATGGTGGAAAATTTGAAAATGCTGACACTTTATTTTGACACTTACAAATTGTTTTTAATTTTTTTGTTTTGAAAGGCTGTTTCTTTTAATTTAAAAATGCACCTACTGTAAAAACAACAAGCCCAAAGTAAATTAAAAAAGAAACAAATATTACTGAAAGAGTTAAACAATATGAAAATGAAAACAAAACATTTTGTTTTAAGTCAAACGAAGCATTTGAAACTGAACACAAAAAACCTGTTTTGATTTTTGTTTCTGCCAACCCCCTGCCCCAAAAAAGTTCTGTTTTGGATTGGCTTGAATCATTTTCTTGTCTTGTCTTTTTTTTTTTTTTGGCTTGGCCTCAACCCAGAAAATCTGTTATTTGTCCATCTCTAAATATGATCCCATATGGAAATGGACTCTATGCTGGGGCATGGAATTTTTGAGATTTGTTGATTAAAGCCATGGAAAGGGTAAGGGCAGAGGCTACAGTTAATGTTAATGAGCGCTGCACCCCCTGGCGGTCTTTAAACTTCTAAAGACCCTCCATGGCTAAGTGAGGAATTGACCTACCTTTGCATCATAAATTCTCAGATGTAGATCTCTATACTCATGACATACCTGAGCCCTATTCTTTGGGTTCTATATTCTAATTTAAAAAAAAATCTTTTTACAGAGGAAGTTCCAGCTTTAAAATCATCAGTAGCTGCTTAGTGCCAGCTGCACAGTTCTCTCTCCCAAACCCTATTATATTGCTTTCAGATGACTCCCTATATATGGCTGCCACAGTCTGAAGTACCTTCGTGGTTGATAATGGCAAATATTTTCTCACTTAGGGACCTGAATTAGGTATCGTAATACATATAAACTTGTATTAAGCATTAACAATTAAAGTGGCCTAATTTTTGGAAGTGGTAACCACTTGTAGATGATTTCAACAAGAGATCTTGAAGCTCAAGAACTTCAGGTAACTAATTTGGAATATGTTGGAATAAATGTTTTAGCCACCAGTAGGTGCTAGAATTCAAGAGCCCTATCAAATTCCTATTGACTTTTGAAGGAATAGGATCCTGCCTGAATGTCTATATATACACACATCAGTAGTGTTCCATAGCTGTGATCAATTAACAGTTTTGCTTCTGAATCAACATACAGATTTTGCAAGTAGAAAAGTTCAGCAGACAACATGGCATAACTTGGAGAGTCTAGAGTTACTATCCATCCACTATTGTTTTTAACAGCAATGTCTAAAACACTTAAATTGATTTTGTTTTATTTGATTTGTTTGTTTATTTACGTAATAGAAATGCTTAAATGTACACTGTGCCACTGTATGTTAAAAACGTCACTTCCTCTTAGGTCACAACCACAAGTCATATATGTTCAATAATAAAAAACTAACAAATATATAACTATTTAAAATCTAACTTGAGTGATAATGTATAGTTATGTAATTTAAAGTGTTGGTTTTACTTGCTAGAATTCTGTAATGCATGTGTCAAATGGCAGATTTCTATTGCAAAAAAAAGCAACCCAACACAATTTTTTTGGTTGATGCACTGTCTCATCAGGGTGTCTGAGTGATCTTATACACCAATCATAGAATAACAGTCTGTATTACAGGACTCTGTTGCAAGGAGCCTGCTGGTCTTGCTGTCTGCCAGTACCCGTAGGTGTCACCAGCACTTACTGGGAGGGGAGCCAGAATATGGGAAAACAAATCAAAGAAAGTAACTTTCATGTCCTAATTAACATGTTGATTCTTTTAAAAATCACTTCTCCCCCACAAATCTTTAGCAATAATTGGTTAAAAATATGAAAAAGAAATAAAAAACATTAAAAAGAATTTCAAAATGTTCAGCACAGAGCACAATACTACATCACACCTGAACTGTGATGGCAGGAAGAATTGCATAGTACACATCTTATAACCAGGCTTCTCTTACAAAAGTGGTCGTTGTGATGGGCTGATTTTATAAAAACAGTCCCTGATTTTGCAGTCAGAATTTTCTGTATGCACTTTTAAAAGCACAAGTTACTGGGGATGCATTTTATAACACAAGTGCTCTGAGAAAGCATTTAGTAGGCTAAATTATATAATGCCCTTGTATGTACTAATTGATAAAGATGCATCATATTTTTTAGACATTGTCAAAACCATACCAGTGAAACCCATTAAGGCACCTTCTCTGGATTGCCTACGGAGCCCATCGTCATCTTGGAAATCAATGTACACAAGGTCTATAGCTTGTAGGCCAAAAGCCTTTGCAGTGACGACTATTTTTTGCCTGGCATATAGAATATCATGAGTTTCCTTACTGCTTGTTGCACCTAAAAAAAACCATGAATAGAAAGAAAAGAAGCTGAAATTAGTTTCATAATCTTCTCATTTGAAAGGTTTCCTATATAAAAGTAATTGTTTCTTTGAATTCTCATTTAACAAAATTTTTAAAAAGAAAAAGAAAGATGTAAGGATGCAAAGTTACACTATCAAAATCATGTAGAGAATTCATTCATATGCTGCTGCCAAGCAAAAAAAAATCTTCAGATCTTAGCTTCTAAAATGTAGGGTGTGATTTAGTTCAAATCACAGGTTTTGGTATTGAAATGAATGGGAGTTTTGGCTGAGCAAGGACTGCAGGGCTGGGACCCACCTTCAGTAATTATGTGATTCTATTGTTTATTGTAATGGTACTGAAAAGCATTACACCAAGAGAAGCATTATACAAATGGACATACTGTGTACAATGAAATGGTTAAAAAATTCACACTGAGAACAGAATTGCACTTTCCTTGGTTGTGATTCTTGTCACAACGGATGTCCTAAGCCAAATGTTCAAGCTTTAGTATCTGGATGGGAAAATTTGAAAAATTATGGCAGATGACTTTTGAGAGGGACAAAAAGCATTCACAAGACTTCATGTGCCCGCAGTATATCAGATAAAAAACATTCTCACATGAATGCTGGTGTGAAAAAATAATAATCTGTTCTCTTTTCCTTAGGGTCACTGCCTAGATGTGGATCATCAAGTCATATAGAATAATTCAAAACTTTGTTGCTAATTTTATACTGGAATATTTATACTTTGGTTAGACGTTGGCACTTCTAAACTATGCGTGTTGTTGTAAGGAGTTTTGTAGCTGAATCAGAACAACAAAAGGAAAATTAGCAGATTATAAAGGGGATTCTGAAAATGGCTTTGGAAGAATGGTAATATTGTCTAAATGTAGGTCCTTGAAGTGATAAGGCTGTTTTGACATGGCACATGTTTACAGTAAATATACTAACACAAAACATAACAGGAAACTACTTGTGCATAATGTCAAAATATTGAACGGATATGCATATAATATTGTAAATTATGCTAAAATCAGAAACGTAAGCATGTCACTTGAAAAGCGTTTCTTAAGAGTATATACAAGTATTGGTTCATATTAATATTACATTTAAAAATAATCTTAGTGATTTACCAGTTTTTTAATTTTTGCTATAGTATGACAAAAACAGAAAAAGATCAGTGTATTGTAAAGCCACAGCTCTAGCAGGAACATTTCAATATATCAGCAGTACATTATAAAATAATAAAAATAATGGAGAAAGGAAAAGTAACTTCAGAATAATCTCCCTACAGTGTTTTAGCCACCGGGTAAAACAACAGCAGTAATCTGAACTGCAAATGATATAAACTACGATTTATAATAAATAGGCAGGTAAGAACCTATGCTGGCACGAAAATCCTCTCCTCCAAAGACTACTGCATCCAGATGAAGGCCAACTTGGGGTCCTATCCTCAGTGTTTCTTCACACACTGCCTTCAAATGAGAACAGAGTATTAATTTCTACAGAATTTCAGGGATCCCAGAGAGCAAATTATACTGTCTTATTCTATTAAAAAAAATCTTTTGGCTAACATTACTTCAGAAAAATAAACTACTGTCAGTACTTTCTTGCATTTAATATTTTAAAATGACTCAGCAAAACATATATCAATGTGTTTGCATATAAACAAATACTCTGTAGTTACAGCAGACAACCTTACATTTTTGCCTTTTTTGAGGGGGCAAATATGAATGAACTTATGACTGCCACAGACACTTCTGCAACTGCACTTTAAAAATGCATGCAACAGTAGTAAATTGAGTACTTGTTAAATGCTGCCCATAAATGAACACATACCTGCTTTCTTTAATTTATACTTTAGTATTTATAAATGTTGTACAAGAAACAGAAACAAAGATGAAAGTGTCTGTTATGAAACAAATAGTAGTTGGATGTTTCAAAGCATGTATATTATGAATTTAAAAATGTTAATATTGTTCAGTACAGTTAAATTAGCTACCAGAAGCAAAAAAAAAAAAAAAAAAAAAAT